TAATAATGCATTTTATTTGTAGGCGCCTTTCTGGACACCCAAGGTCACCTTGACATAAAAGCAAGAAGATTATAAAATACATACCGGTAATAAAAAAAACACACAAGATTTATAAGACAGTACAAAGGTAATTAAAAACTGTATGCTAGTTCAAACAAATGGGTTTTTAGTTTGGACTTAAAATATTGCAAAGACTCAATGTTACGGAGATCAGGTGGGAGTGAGTTGCTGAGTTTGGGAGCAGAGCGGCTGAATGCTTTGCTTCCCATAGTGACAAGACGAGCAGGGGGAACGGTGAAAAGGACAGAGGAAGAGGATCTGGGGAGACGGGTGGATGTGGCAATGTGAAGGAGGTCCGAGAGATATGGAGGTGTGAGGTTGTGAACTACTTTAAAAGTTAGAAGAAGTATTTTATAGTTGATGCGATATGTGATTGGAAGCCAATGGAGCTGTCGTAAAATAGGTGTGATGTGATGAATTAAGGGGGTCTGAGTAATAATACGAGCAGCTGAATTTTGAACCAATTGTAGTTTATGCAGAGTTTTCTGTGGCAGACCAAAAAGCAGAGAATTACAATAGTCTAAACGAGATGTGACCAAACTGTGGACCAGAACAGCAGTGGAGTGCGGAGTGAGAGAAGGACGGAGACGGCGAATATTTCGGAGATGAAAGTAAGCTGATCGAGTGATATTATTGACATGGGAGGCAAAATAGAGGGTGCTATCGAGGATGACACCCAGACTCTTAACCTGAGGGGAGGGAGAAATGGAGGAGTTATCAACTGAAATGGAGAAATTATCAAGTTTACTTAGTATTGAATTAGTACCAATTAAGAGAAGTTCAGTTTTACTGGAATTTAATTTGAGGAAGTTAAGAGTAAACCATTGTTTTATTTCAAGAAGACAATCAGTGAGGGAGGAAAATGGAAGCTTGGAACTATGTTCGGTTGAAACATAGAGTTGGGTGTCATCTGCATAGCAGTGAAACTGGATGTTATGTTTGCGAAAAATATTACCAAGGGGGAGGAGGTAAATGATAAACAACAAGGGTCCCAGGACAGAGCCCTGGGGAACACCTGAAGAGACGGGAATTGGGCGAGAGGTAAATGATTGTAACTGAACAAACTGAGAGCGACCTGAGAGATATGAACGAAACCAGTTGAGAGGTGTATTTACAATGCCAAGAGAGGATAATCTATCAATAAGGATGTTATGTGAAATTGTATCAAAAGCCACAATCAGATCAAGGAGAAGGAGTATGGATAATAAACCAGTCAGTAGCAAGAAGGAGATCATTTGTAATTTTAAGAAGCGCTGTCTCTGTACTGTGGAGTGGACGGAAACCAGATTGGAATTGTTCATATAGATTATTGCTGGAAAGATGAGAATGGAGCTGAGCAGCAACTGTCTTTTCTAGAATTTTTGAAATAAATGGAAGATTTGAGATAGGGCGAAAATTGTTGAGTTCTTTGGGATCTAAACCAGGTTTCTTAAGTATTGGGATTATTGCTGCAGTTTTGAGAGCCAAGGGAACAACAGCAGTAGTAATGGAAGAATGCACAATGTTAGTGATGAGAGGGGAGAGAGAGGAAAGGGTGGCTTTAACAAGAACAGTGGGAAGAGGATCTAAATGGCAGGTTGAAGAGTTAGATTTTTGAATTAATTTGGTGATATCATCAACAGAAGGGAGGCTGAAGACCGAGAATGAATTATAGGAACAACTGAAACTGGGACAGATGATGTTAAGGCAAGACTGGGTATAAGTTCCTGATGGATAATTTCTATCTTAGAAGTAAAA